TTTCATGTGAAGCAAGCGCAAATCAAATTTTATCTCATCAAAATTACAATGATTGACTACAACTAAATAAGCTATTAAGGAATAAGATGCATCAATTCATGAAGGGATGATTATAATTTCTCAAATTATATAACCATTAAAATTGACTAAATTTATTTACATTGAAATTCATATATTGTTATGGATCTAAGTAATAGTTAGGTCAAAAATATATAATTATTTTCATCATATTTACAATCATTTATGGATTGCCAATATCATAAGAAATGAGAAAGTTCTTCGGTAAAATAGAAGGGAATTTCATGAAGCTTCGAATGGATAAAAAATGATATGAACAAATTAGCAGAACTGCAAAACGAATAAAGACGGGCTGAGGTTTTGAAACTACTGAGTGCTGGGCAAATAATGATCCATAAATGTGAAAAGGGTTAATCATATATAATATTATTTATAATGTAAATTATATGAATAGTAAATGGACATTATATAATTATATGATGATTAAATAATTTATATAAAAAGGTGCGAGGGATTGAATATATTGGATAATGATGCAATAATTATTAAATTAAGTTAATAAAATTTGATATTACTAAAATAAATATAATTGATAATAAATCCTAAAATATTCACTAATTAAAAAATTATTTTTCGCAGAGCTTATTTAAAATCACTTTTAAAAATCACTGCTAAAAATATTTAAAATCACTGCTAAAAGCTTTTCCAAAATTAACAATCACAATGATTTAAAATTTACTGCAACGAAAATAGCAGGAATTTTTACTGTTGCATCTGTCTGTATAAAGTGCTACAAAAACTCTTTTTTTTTTGTAATGACTTTTGAGATAATAATATATCACTATTAAATATATAATTATGTAAGTTTTCGTTAATTAGATTTTGTTTAAATAATATACATATATGTATGAGTTATCATCGAAAATTTAACAAATTACTTGTTGAACAACAAATTAGTTTATTCGTGAATATGAATATAAAACAATGTGAAAGCTAGTTATTTTCGATTTGAAAGATTTGAAAACTCAAAAAATTTGAAAGATTTCCTAAATTGTTTAAGTGAAAGCTAGTTATTTTTTAACTTTTTTGCAATTGGAAGAAAGTCCTCTTTAAATTGCATAATGTGAAAGTTCAATGTTCATTTAACAAATTTCTTTCTATTGAAGTTAACAACTAGGGACTATAACTCATTATTCTCTTGTTAGACATAAGAAGCTTTGAAGTTTCATATTATGGTCAAGTCTTTTTAACCATGTAAGGGTTCCTAAGATTCCTCATTTGCAATTTTAATCTTCTAATAGCAATATTCATATTCCACCAAGAAACAATTTGTTAATCTAATTGTTCTTCTAGTCTATGATCAATAATCTTATATCATAATTGATTTTAACATTTCTAGTAACCAACAAGAATGCAAAAGAAAGTTTTAAAGGTTAACACATCAACATGTCATAAATTGCTCTAAGAAAGTTAGACGGAATGAACAAGATTTTTACATTACAAATTTCAAGAACAAAACTAGTTCCTAAACATGTGTGACGAAAATGCATCAAATTTCTTTGAAAGTAAAGCAAAATTTACATAGATAAAGAAAAGCGTGCACCCAATTTGAATCTCCTTTCACTCCAGGATGGTCCTTCCATTCAAAATGCACTTCCTTCTTGATACCCCCCGCATAAGATTTTGAATTTTTATTCATTCCATCGGTTAAACCGTCAACAAACCACAAAAATAAACTTAAGTCAATGTGGAGTGTGAGGACACTAGCAACAGGTGCAGTGGTCTTGGGTTCCAGCATTGTTTTGTGGCTCTGATCCATCAATATTTGTCTTCAGGCACGACGATGTTGGTTTTGGTGGCGCGATGATGTTGGTTTCTTGTGTTAGGGCGCTTGGCCTTTGGTGTAGTGCTATCGCTCTCTTTAAATTCTTAAGATTAGGATTATAAAAGTAAGAAAAAAACAACTCTTGTATTTACAACAATAACAATATTAAAATCATCTTAAAAATTGTAACCCATAACATAACAAAGGCGTATTTAAACATCACATGAAAAATAGCTCCCCTAAACCTAATTCTAATCACGAGACATATGAAATATGCATTGCTAATACATGCTTTAAACTTCAACCACAGAGAACATGAAACCGTGTGTGAATTGTATAATCCTACATACATACTTAGTAGCCTGAATCATCTTCTTATTAGTTCCTTTGGCAGTCTCAAGCTGTCAAGTCGATCAGCCATAGCCAAAGCCACAACCCTAGAGAAGACAAGAATATACAATAAAAGCATCCCACCCATTACCAGCTGCCTCTTATAGTTTCTTGCCCACATAGATAATACGTACAAAGCCAAACCAACTTTCTGACTTGAGTCCACTTGCTAGTGTTCTCCATTCTTTGGAACTTGAACACTAGACCATATTATTTCTACTTTTAATTAGGGTCCATATATTAAAAGTCTATGGTAGCTGCCAAATTCGTGGTTCCTATTATAATTGGATCCATTCATCATTTATCATTAGTCCCGTCCCATCCAGATATAGTAGCATGCAAGAGTTCATTTTTGGTCAGTGTTCCACGATGTGACAATTATATATACTATATATGTTATGAGGTGTTTCTAATTCAGTCCGTTTACTCTTTAATACTTATGTTTTTAATCATTTTATTGCTATATTATCTGTTGTTTCTAAGAAATGCGAGTTCTTTTTCATCCTATTTATTTATTTGCTTCGTAAGAAAGCATGAAATGAGATAAGAATTCAAGTTTTTTAGACATCATTTGTTACAAATTACAAATCTTAACTTTAAAATTGTATCCTCTAAATTATATTTATAAGAATATGAAAATGTTCTGATTAAGAAATTTAATTTAAAGGTGACCTTGGAGTTATTATGCCATGTCTAGATTCTTAATACCCCTCTCAAGCTCTTAAAATCATCTACTTTAAAATAAATATAATACATATATAGCTAATATTGTGTTAATTTAAAAATAAATTAAAAAAATTGAGAATCATTTTAGTCATTTATTTTATAATACTAAAGTTTAAATTCATAAAATTATCACTTAACTATTTATATCGAGTCATTTTAGTTCCTAAATTCATAACAATATCAAATTAACCTAAACTCTTTTAATGGGGCTAAAATAATTTCCTTTTTAAAGAGTTTGAGGACTACTTAAGCTCATATTAAAAGAGCCTCCAAAATAGTTTTACATACTCTACTACAAAGAATCACAAGCACTGACTTCGAATAATAAAATGTTAGGTTTATCTAAGGGTCCGTTTAGTGTTGTGGTGCAGTGGTGGTGCGCTCTGTAATTTTGTTTGTTTCGGTGAATTTTGTTTTGACAGACTTTTCAAAAAGTTGTTACTGAAATTTGTGTTCTCTCTGGTCCTTACTAGGTGTGGTGATAGCTTTCTAGCTGAGGTCAGAAATTTTCAAAAAAAAATTGACACCAAAGCTTTTTGAACATCAAATTATTTATCAATAACTACATAACTACTTTTTAATAAGCCGCAGCTTCCCCAAACATAACCAAAATATAAACCACATTTTCATTATTAAGCCCAATCCATTTGATGGATCCAAATACTTTATTTATACGTTAAATACATTTGTTTACGAATTCATATACTTTACCATACTACTGACAATAATTGGCGCACGAATTTCGACGTTCTTGAAGATGCTGTATTTCATTTTGAGTAAACTGAAACAGAAAAAATTAAATCAGAGCCACCCAAAAAAATGACGTGGCATGCATCCAGAATGTGATCGATGGGATCGACCACTATACACTATGTAACCCACCAAGGAGACCTATATGCCCTACTTCACAACACAGCAGGCGCATCCCTTGTCACCCCAAACATACATCAACCCTCCTTTTCATGCAAATCCATGCAAGACCAGCGACAACGCTTCAAAAGCTTATTAAATTTAATATATATATATATAGAGCTAAGTTAGTATTATAAAAATAAGTAAAAGTGTAAACATTTCTCTTTTAGAAATGAGGATAAAAATCCCCTAAATATCACATCTCATTTAAAAAAGAATAATGCAATACTATTTTCAAAACATCATATTTATATATGTGTGTGTAAACCCGAAGACAAATTCATTGATAATAAAGGAAGATACAAAGCTTTAGTGAAGATACAAAGCTTTAGTGAGTGGGTGTAAGGGATCCACTCACAGATATATAACATACTCCACAAAAAAAAAAAATAAATAGTAGTGTTATGCCCCAAATATCGCCTGCAAAACCACAAAAGCCACAATAAGACCACGGATAGCACCGCCATGCCGAGAAGCTGTTAATCAAGATGGGTTCATTTTTCACTTTCCCTCCCCTCGATTCTAGGGAGTAAGTCCAACAACAAAGTATTATAAGGGCTTCCTTCTGAAACTACCAAACAGTCATCCTGCGCTAACACATCTTTTTTTCTTTTTCTTAGTTTTTTGAACCTTTCATTCATCTTCCATTGAGAGCTTTACCCTGGGTGGTATATTGATCCACTTAGCCTTGAGTACTCTCTTCTCTTACAATTGATAGCTCCACAACAATTGAAGAATTATCTGCTACAACCATATAATTATAGTGTTTATATATATATATATATATATATATCAAGAGACTATTTAATTTTATATTTAATCTTATTCATTGAAATCAATTATCATGTTTCATTCATTATGAAAAATTCTTAGAGGAAAGCCTGTTTACTGCATGTAGTTTTTCTAACTTTGAGGTAAATCATTTCCTCTAAATAATTATAATTTGAAAGAACAGTATGCCCCTTTAAGTGAAATACTTTAATTTGTCCCAAAAATATTAATAATATAGTCGATGCAGCGCACTTCTCAGAAGAGCAGCAGTAAATCATTATTTGATTTCCCTCTCCGGTCTCCTACCTATATATATCATCAGGTGAGCAATCACCAATTGAAAATCAGTTAGCTTAATATGGCTTCTTCGTGCGGTGCATGCAAGTTCTTAAGGAGGAAATGCGCCGACATGTGTATATTTGCGCCGCACTTCAGCTACGAGCAAGCGGCGGCGCATTTCTCAGCCATCCATAAAGTGTTTGGAGCCAGCAATGTGTCCAAACTTCTATCCCACTTGCCGGAGCAGCACCGTGCCGCCGCCGCCATCACCGTCGCCTATGAGGCCCTTGCTAGGGTTAGAGACCCTGTCTACGGCTGCGTCGCCCATGTCATCGCACTTCAGCAACAAGTAAGTTTTAAACTTGGAGCAACCAAATTAATTTACTAATTTGTCTCATTTGGCTCAGAAAAATATTAAGCCTTCCAGACATGTAGGACGTAAGAGTTCATCCATTTGGTTGAGTGATTGTCGAAAAATTATTACTATTATTAATTATGAAAATAATTTGAACTTTAAGATTTAATTTCCTTTACATATATACATCTGTATTGTAAGCTAAATTTATCTTATATATTCTTTCCACCAAGTTTTTCAGCTGTGTTTGGCTCAGAAATTTGAATGAGCTCCATAGACCGGCCATCTTGAGCCATGCTAATCCGTAATCAAGTTAATTATAGATCCGACGTATAGTCTCCATTGGGTAGATCAATAGTATTGGTTGATCACTAGTTGGTATATGCTCTGAATTGAGAGAAAATATAACGTCCCGTGAATCGGATATGTGAATGACGGTGTGGATAGTATCACAACTTGTGTTCAACGGCACGATACGATCCACACCGTCATCCGCACAAAGATGTAATATTTTGTTCATGATTGAAGAAGCAATAATATGTGAAATAATTTATAATACTATTACAATTCAATGAATTTTATAATAGTTAAATTTTCTTCAAAGTAAATATTGTAGTGTATAAATTGCATTGGTTATCTTAGCGTACAAGATATCATATAACATTTCACAAGCTATTTTGCTCAAAGTTTCTCCTTAGATTATACAGTAATATTTAGGGTATTTCACAAGCTAATTAAGGAGTGCAGGTGTTGAGACTTCAAGAGAAAGTAGAATCACTGGTGGCGGAGTTACTGTGCAAATCTTCGAGTCCTACAGGAAGCTGCATTAATTTTGCAGAGCAATATTGCTTTGCTGGATCCAGTCATTCGAATGAGTTACAGGTGGTATACAAGGAGGCTCTTGATCGCTTGGAGCGTTGTCTCTTCAGTGAGGAAGATCAGATTTCGCCCGAGGTGTCGCCGGCGCCTGCGAGCATTGAAGTGCTGGAAGATTTCCTATGGCGTTAATTTGACTTTTTATATATAATTTAAGGTTACTATTGTTTCATCTACTATTATAAGGTGGAGAGTGTGGGAGAAAGAAGTATTAATGTATGAGATGTTGAGGGTTGTAAGGGCGACATATTTTTACTTGATCATAATATTGTTTATGTTACAAGATGTTATTTATTTTGTATTTTCTTAATGATATTTAATGTTATAATTGTGATGCTTTATATTGAATAATACTAATCAGGAGTATTGTTGAATTCAAAATTATTCATGAATCGCATTGAAAGAATAGAACCTAAGAGGAGAGTGAAAAAATAGATAGAGTGAGAGATTGTTAGAATACATGCTTAGGACTGTTGATTTAGTTTAAGTCTAATTGAGTCAAGTTAGTTCATGAATCTTATGAATTAGTTGCTATTTTCTTGAATTTTGTTTATTGTTTCTTTCTTGTTATTTTGACCCCCAATTAATGAACTAAAGTAAAAGGGCACTTTTGTAATGTGGTACCGCTCAACTACCACATCTCACCTACCGTTCATCTACCGTTCACCTACCGCTCACCTACCGCTCACCTACCTCCCACCTACCACTCTCTTGCTTCTATAAATAGAGAGGGTGTGAGGCTTAGGAGAGCAAGGGAAGAAATCTTAAGGGTGTGAGGCTTAGGAGAGGAAAGGGAGAAGATATCTTAAGCTACCACAAAGGAGGAGAGAATAGCTATAGAGTTAGAGAGGAGGAGAGCATCTTGAGGCCTTGTATCAAGGTGTCGCTTGAGAGGGAGGCCATAGAAGAAAGATGAGGGCTCATCTCTATGTATAAGCTATGTATTCTCCATTTCTTTTGCCTTAGTGAACTATTTGATTGATTCCCTCCCGTGGACGTAGATCCAGTTGGATCGAACCACGTAAACAATCTGTGTTTGCTTGTGTTCTTTTTCGTCTCATTTCAATGCCAGGAAGTACATATCTCACAACAATAAG